GTCTTAGCCTTCACCTGTCCTGCTAAACTGTTTCAACCGTGCCTAGCCAGCTGTGGCAAATGCTTTGAGACATCCTCCCAACTATAACATAACATGTAGGAGCAGGAGGAGGCCATTCGGCCCTTTGAGCCTCTGCCCCGCCATTCAATCATGGCTGATCTTCTAATCTAACTCCAGCTAATAACCTGACGCTGCCTTATCCCCATATCCCTTCATCCCTATGTAAATTGTAATATTGTATTGTCTGTGTGATACATGCAAATGCCAATACAATGCAAGCATTGGCATCATCCAACTCTCACGCTGTCTCAGTCAAATAGATCAAACATATCAGATTTTCTCATGAATTTTATTTGAATCCCATGGTATGAGAATGAAGCTTTGTAACCATTCCCGACATTTCACAGACAAACCAGGCATCTGGATAGCCGTTGCAGTATAGAAATCCATTACGGTACAATCAATCTTATCTGTTTTCTGCTGCAATATATTTTAAAAAATCAGAAAAATTGGTTCAGATGATCCAATTCTGTGAACACTCCACCAACCGTCTTCCCATCAGCGCACCCAGCGTCCTGGCCTCACCCCCCCTTCTTGGCAACCTGTTCCAGACAACAACTAAAACTTACATAGCGCCCTTCACACAGGGGAGCATCTCGGAGCACTAAATCACCAGTAGCAGGTCAGTCGAATTACCGGCAGTAGTCGAGTAGTTAATTGAAAACTCCCAATAACAATACAAGACTGTAATCAGATACAATACTGGCTTAAAGGGGCGAATTCCTGAAGACAGTGCATTCAATTCATGCCTCCGCTAGGACTCAGTGTTCCACGTTTGAAAGATAAATATCCCTTTTTTTTTTCCACCTGGTTTTCCCGGTTTCTATTGCCTCCTCGGCAAATCCTGGCCTTTTTTTTTCCCCCCCCCACATTCGCTGTACAGGTGGCACCCGAACAGGCAGAGGGGACCTCGGTTTAAAGTCCCACCTGAAGGACGGCACCTCGGACAATACACACGAAGGCGAGAGAGAGCTGCTACTGAGCCAGGCCGGCACACAAGTAATTCAAACCGAGATGAGTTAGCAGTGCGAGTCTGGGGGGGAGATTGCTGCTGGAAAGAGCTTTCATGATTTCTCTTTTTATGTGAAAGGTGCTGGGGAGAGGATGCAAGGTCATTTTTACTGAATCCAATGCTGTAATTATAATAATAAATAGTATTAAATCTCGCGTTTGATACAGCGCCTTCACAGAATGTACTCTAAAGCGGATTGACTCTACCATTTGGCGGGCGAAACGGGGCAGCCAAATGCGCACAGCGGGTTTGATTCTAATTTTAATTTTAATTCTAAACCTGCCTCTGAAGGCAAATGCTGTCAAAACCAGAACCAACATTCAGAGATAAGAATAATGATAACCATATATGGGAATATAACTCAGAGTGCTGAACTTCATCCCCTCCCGTCCCATCCCACTGCACCCTCTCCCTCCTCTTGCAGAAACTATCTCAAACCAGTTCCGTGACCTGAATTCTCAGAAAATTGCAAAGGAACCAGATTTGACCAACCACTGAAGCCTGAGGGCAGCTCAAATTTGCTTTAATCCGGATAGCAGCAAACGTGATACTGGTGCAGGTCAGATTCCTGCATGAAGTGTCAGACAAAGTTACTCAGTGAATTTACAGTCGTTCTGTGTTCATTAATCTTGCAATCAGATATGCGGACCAGGGCTGCTTCAGAGACATTGATTAGAAATAATAGAATGCTCAGTTTCCTTCAGCTTCTTTCGTTTCAGTTTTAATAATAGTAGTAACCCTTAATAATCCTTGCATTTAATGTGCAATACATTTGTTTTGCGCCTTATCACGTCGTTGAGACGTCTCAAAGTGCTTCACAGAGTATACCGTACAGTGTAGTGCCTGTAGTTTGCAGGCGAAATGCAGCAGTTAATTGTTCACAGCAGTGACCCACAAACAGTAGTGGATTGAGGGATTATTACATCCTGGAAAGCAATCCCACGATCGACGAACAATAATATACTAGTAGTAATGATCTTTTGCATTTCATATAGCACTTTTCACGTCAGAATGTCTGAAAGCATTTACTATAAAGCTTACTGACGGTTTATTTCGCGCACAATCATTGCAACCAATTTACTACGCACAACAACACACGAATGATTAACTTTTATGTGTGGGATTCTTGGCCAGGACATCGGGAGAAACTCCCTTCTCTTTTCAAGCAGCCTCGCGGGATGTTTAACGTTCACCTGAACAGGCTGATGAGAGCTTGGTTTAACATCTCATCTGAAGCATAGCCCCTCCGCAACACAATGTGGGGCTTTGAACCCACAATTTTCCACAAGTGATAATTAACACATTGCGCATTTTCATCCTATTAGGCACTTGATTCCAATCCCCAGCTCAGGTGCAAACCCCTAACTGTCCAACGACTTGGGACGTCCTTCCGACATGAAAGGCGCTATACAAATGTAATTTGTTGTTGTCGTTTTTATCATTATTATTATTATTATTATTAATAAATGATTGATTGTACAGCAGTTGAGTCTCCTGTGCACCTATCTTTCCATGTTACAGGTAAGATAAAGCCTTGAGATCCTACCTGCCTGAAACAAACAGCCTATAAGTGAACGCTGGCCACCAATCTGAGCTTCTCAGTTAAATAAGACACCGGTTTAGAAAACTGGTTTCAGAAGAATGAAAGCAACGCAATCCTTTTCTCTCTCTTAGACGCCCCACTCGCCCCCCCCACCTCAATCCTTTTCTCTCTCTCAGACGCCCCAGCCGCCCCCCACAGTCCGTCCTAAACCGTACTCGATAATTTCGATAAAGCAACTGTCTGAACCGAAACCCGGTTGCAACTTGCCAGGTTATTGTACAAACTGGATTTCGAGGAAGATACTCATCAGTGTTTAGCCCAGTCAGCCCTGTCGCTAATCTCCCCAGTCAGATCTCAGCACAATACTGTGCGATGGCGTGACAACAACCCCAATGCGCCGTGAGACGGGCTTCTTCACGTGATTTCAATCACCTTTGTGGTTGCTACTTTTATTCCTTATGTGACTTTCTCATTGATTTCCTGCTGATGGACAAGGGTAATGGAGCGAGAGTGAACTAGTCAAGGCTGGTTCGGGCCAGGAATCCCCACATCAGCACTCGGCTTCTCACTCTGCTCAGAGGGAAACTCTGGGTCAAAGAGGCACAAATGGCCAAACGATGGAGTTAATTCCCCACGGCCTGTATGGTATGGTCACATCAGTAACATCGTTGACGCGTTTAGGGTCATTGTTGTCCGGATCATTTATCCTTTTGTCGCCTGAGTCATTATTTTTAGGTGCTGTCTGTTTTGTGATGCGGGGGATGTTTAAGGGGCCTGAGGATCATATCTGCAGGTCTGGGTGACTTAAACGAGTCCCACCTTTCGTCCATCCTGTCCCACCAGCCTCAAGCATTCCACTTCCCCTGAAGGGTCTCGCCTGAAACATTAACCGGTGGTTCTTTGTTCTTGTTGTGAATCAAACCGCCGTGTAGTTCGAGTATTTTCTGTTCTATCTCAAATGCCACGACTGTTAGTGCGCCAGTGTGTTTGGGGGGTAACCAATTGCATACAACAGTGTCCCACAAACAGTCGTGGATTGAGTGACCGAATTATTATTGGGTCTTTTTGACCGGATTATCCGCCAATCGACCAACAACCAGGTTCCGACTTACTGCTAGGTAAACAGAGGTGTGTGGAATAAGGAAGCATTATTATTATTATTATGTGCCCGCTGTTGTCAAGTCATTGTGGTCTGTGCAGAATGTTAGTTGCTTCAATACCAACCCCCCCCCCCCCCCGCCCCGGCCAGAATAAGTCAGTGAAACATGTCAGTGTGACTCTAATCTCTTTTGACGGTTTGCCAAGTATCCAACGTCCCTCAAAGGTGAGGATTTTTCCTGCTGAACCCCACACTCACTCACAGATCAGATCACAATTTTGAAATCTCTCAACAGGTCTTTTATCTTTTAATAGCTGGGGGGGGGGGGTCTTCATTCAGGGCGGGGGGAGAGGGAGGGTTTCGCACAAACGGAGATCTGAAAATGGACCTGGCCGCCATTTCTGAAGGAAAAATACAGCCTTCGCACTGACAGCGAACCTGAATGTAATATTTCCAGGAAACGATGCATCAAGCAAGACAAATACACGGAGTCGAGATCACAGCAAGTCGGGGGGTTTGGCGAGCGATTCCACATCAGATCTACTCCGGTTTAATTTACGCCTGCACAAATTCCGTTCCAACAATCTACCCCTGTGTACGTGGGGATGGGATGGGATGCAAATTCTCAGTTTGGTTTGGGTACTCTTTAAGCCCGGTGATGGGTTTGCGCATGTGTCAGACACCCGGCCGACCACACACAAAAAATTAAGTTCTTGCCTAATTCTGGGCGCTCTGGGGAGTAATTCTGGAACAACGTTTTTTTTCTGGCTCTGTGCAATTGGCTGCCCCGTTTCACCCACAAAATACAGTCGATTCAACGTTTGCAGCATATTCCTCGAAACGCTTTCTCGAGGACGCGATAAGGCACTGTGTCAAAATGCAAGGATTATTATTGTTAAGTGGAATTTCTCGCCTGGAATCTGTATAGCATTAAATGCAAGTGTCGCAATCGCCAATGTCACAAGTGGTTGTTCGCTAGTGGAACAGCAAATATCTTTTCACAGCAAAATCCGCACTGGGTATAGATTGTCGTGATGTTGCGGAGGGAAAATCCAGAGAGCAGGTTATGGCTGGGATGTTCAGGTCAAACTTACTTGAACTTTACAACAAGCCAGGACTGTTGGAATGAATCAGGGAATGTGGAGAAACTGGGGAGGAGCCCAGAGAGTGAATCGTGCCTGGAACCCACCCATTAACCGCCACGAACCAGTTAGCAGCCAGACTCTGGGATTAGCTTGGATAAGGAAGTGTAAAGTGCTCATAAAAGGCAATCATCCCCTGAGAGAATGACAACACATTGTGCAGAGATAAAGGACAGAGGAAAGCAATAGGTTGGCAAAGCGTTGGGTTCAGCAGCAGCAGCGAGAAGAGAAGAAAAGACTAGGTATGATTATTAAGAGGGGCTTTTTATTGGGGTTTTATTGCAATTGCAGGATCACTGAGATTCGGTTTCAGTGAGATTTCTGTTCAGTGTAAAATGATGAGTTTAATGTGATGAGGCGACTGCACTGGGATTCAAGTCGCAGCTTTGAAAGGGCCAGATTCGGTCACATCAATATATTTCGTCACTTGGGTTAAAAGTTGACCCAAGTCAAGCTAAACACGAGCTACTTAATTCATTGAGAATCTGGAGATGAGATGCCGCCAGGAGGCGAGGGCTGAGGCTGTTTGTACCTTTGATGGCAAGATTGCTGAGAATAATAGCAATTTCCCCCTCATTCCCCCTTTACGTGTCTTGTTCATTTTCAATCCCCAGATTTGATCCCTGAGCGCAGTAAATCCCAGATTATTTGGTGTGGTTTTTTCTCTCTCTGTTCTTTACTTGGTTGACAGACATTTAAGAAGGTGCTTACATCATTGATCCAGTCACCGATTCCTTTTGTTTGTGTGTTTTTTTTGTGTGTGTGGCTGAACACGTATTCTAGAGTTTCCTGTAACCTTTTCAGGAGTTTGAACCTTTGAAACCAAAGACTATAACTTTTAGTGATCTCATTGGGAGTAAATAATAGCCAGTCAGTTTTTTAATAATTTATTTGTCAGACTAAAGTTGCAGTGATGCAAATTCACCTTTGAAGGGACTATATTTAGACGTCTGAGCTGATTGTAAGTGGAAGCAGAGCTCACGTTTAAATTGTTTCTCAAATAACAGTGGATTAGTAGACGTGGGATAAACTTTTTTTGGGGGGGGGGGGGGTGGGGGAGAATTTACTACTCAAAGTTTAATTTGTTTTAAGTTTGTAGAAAGTGTAAAGGGGAGTGCTTTTAAAATATAATGATGATGATCCTTGCATTTGATATAGCGCTTTATCGTGTCATTGAGATATCTCAAAGCGCTTCACAAGATGGAGTGTAAAGTGGTTTCGACTGTGTAAAAAATACCCATGGCCGTAGCACTTTCCAGTGAAACCTGTAAAGCCTTTTGGGACATCTTGACCATTAGTGGTGACAGGCTAATTGAATGCTATCGTTGCTTAAATAATAATTATTTTTTGTTACAAAAAATTTCAATCCACTTTACGGTATATTCTGTGAAGCGCTTTGAGATGTCTTCACAAAGATGATAAGACGCTATATGAAAGGCAAGGATTATTATATTAACATTGTAATGTTTTTTGTTGTAAGTTTATTTGTTTTCCCCCCAAATTGTTAGTTGTATATCCACCAGGGCATGTCCTTTAAGTACTGCAAACAGAGCCAAACTTGGTCATTAATAATAAATGCACTAAAAGTGCAGATTAACCCTCTAATTTCCTAATTCAAATCCTCAAAAGAATCTGTGTCTTACAATTCATGGTGACAATAACGATTCCTGCCATGACGTGTGCTCCAACGTGCCGGACTTCAGGATCAGTCCCTATGGGCTGGGATTCAAAGCGAAGGGAGTTTCTCCCAGTGTCCTGGTCAACAATTCCCCCCCCCCCACACCCCCCACCCAAATGTCTCAACAATGTGATAAGGTGCTGGATCGAATGCAAGGATTATTAAATACAAATCCTGCTCAGAATTGTCCTCTAGGCATGATCCTGTAAACGTGGAGGATCTACCGAGGTGACATATGATCTGATTCTACTTTAACCTTTCCACCGCTGCGCTTCTTTCATAACAAAAATAATTACCAGAGCCGTGTAATTCTAACCTAATAGTAACCTGCCGGCTGCTGTCGGGAAGGAGGAAAACAAAAATACTTGTTGTACAGTGCCGGGACGATTCATAGTGGGTTGCAGTTCTTCCCAGTTACTTTTATCTCGTGTCGCATTAGTAAGGGTATTGGAATTTTTATTGAAAAACCAACACTCACCCACTGGAATAACCTATTTATTCAACCCTGAGGTTATTGAAACTGGGAGGTATATCAGCCTACTCTTTTCTCTTTCGCTCTCTCTCTCTCTCGTCACTGCTGTCCTGTATTCTGTTCCTTTATCTTATTTGCTGTGTGTGGTTCCTGTGCAGTACAAGGAGTTGATGTAGAATCTTAAACCACTTATATTTGTGTTTCTCCCCCCCACGCAACCATGTCTTTTGTGGATGTAAAAGCCTTGTCCCAGCACCTCCTCCCCTGCTGCAGTCTTACCAGGTTACGGTCAAATCTTGACTGGATGCTGCAGTCTGTTTCAGTGTGAACTTTGGCACCATAGTCATATTAAACCTTTCAATTGTGTGATGCTTATCAGTCGTGATATCTTTGTGTCAGTGTATAACGAGCAGGTAGATTACAGGGTGTGGTAAGGGCTTTAGATGTTTCTTAGGCACAGATTTATTATACTTTTTTTTCTCTCTCTCTCTCTCCTGTGTTCAGGTGTACCATGTCTGTGTCTCCCCCTGAGGTGTGGCACACTGATGTCTCCCTAGCGGCAGAAAACCTTGACAGAAAGTCCCTGCCTGGACTGGAGTGCACCATCTGCTTCAATAGCTACGATAATACCTTCAAGACCCCCAAACTGCTGGCGTGTACGCATGCTTTCTGCTTGGAATGTCTGGCCAGGTTGGTGGCCGTCATGCCCAACAAACAGCCGGCCAATATCATCTGTCCGCTGTGCAGGCAGCCAACGGTCATTCCCGAACAAGGGACCCCCGCCTTAAATACTAGCCAGGACTTGCTGGCCAAACTCCCACCACAGCTGCGATTGGAAGAGTCTATGTGGGTAGAGGGCAGAAAATTGTGCTGCAAGAGGTCGGCGGATTCTGATGACGGCAAATCCGACCTGTGTGTCTGTATTGACATTGGTGAAGCAAAACCGGACGCCTCTGTTCCGGCGAGGCCAGGCAGTTTCGGCTGCTCTGATATGTTTGGAGACTGGAAGAAAGTGGTCCTGTTCCTCATGGTGGTGGTGATTCTCTGTGCTGTTGTGCTCTGGCCTCTACAGTGTATGATTATGAGCGGAAACCTCAGGTGTGCCAAAGGGCCAGATGGCCAACCACCTACCCCAGTGACGACCACTACTTTTATGAAGACCATTAGAGTATAGTATAACATACATTAAACAGACTGCAAAGACACTAGAACTACGGTCTATATTGAGCCTGAAGTGCAAACCTGAGAATGTATAACCACATTCCCGAGTCTCTTTGTGACAAGAGAAATGCTTTTGACTCGACTTGAATTCCCTATTTCAAGTGGAGTGAAGATCGATGCAATCTCATCTCAAAGAGCACATTTGACAACATCAACAGAACTTATTCAATAAGTAGAGTCCTGTCGTAATACAGCAGGTGGTGTGGGGGGGCATTAAAATCCCAACCAGTGTGACGCGATTGCCAGTCAACCCTTCTACATTCTCTGTGTCTGCATTCAGAAAACCAGTTGGCATTTTGAAGCGCGCCAGCTGGCTTTCTGCACTGCATTGTTTTTGTTTTGGGTAGATGTCAGTGTCCACACCCTGATGAGTGAATTGATATAATGGCTGTTTTTCGCTGTAACTTGTTTGACAAAACTCGTGCTTAGTGCTTAATAGAAATTAGCCACTTCTAGTCGGGTGCCACTCTTTATACAAGTTGGAACTGTTTTTGGGGTTCAATTCACTGATCACTTGTCTTTATACTACCTTATAGCAACCGTGGGCTACACCTGGAAGTTCTGAATGTTTTCCTGTTCCGTCCAAAGATTGTTCTCAGGGGGACCTTTAATGATGTAATTACACGTTTTTTGATGACAGATTTGCACTTTTTTTTAAACAAATGATATATTTCTGGAAAATGGGAGAGGAATTTTTAATGTAAACATTGCTGGCAATTCCACTGCAGCCATTGTTTGTATCTTTATCTCACTGCGTCTTTATACACACACTTGTTTACTAAATGGGAGCTCTTTCTTCTTAAAATCTTGATGCTGCCACAATTACTTTGACAATCCAGTGCTTAAAAATATGAATCCTTCCTGAACTGCAAGAGGCACACGGTGATGTTTACCTGTGATTTTTTTTTGTGAATTGGTTGCTGTTTACCTTGTGATCAGCCGGGTGGGTACCTGACACGTGGATGTCTTCCACTGTACCGCTCTCCTGTGCGATTGGCATATGCGTGGCTGCTTTTCGTTCGGTGTGCTCTCACTCGCGCTCTCCTGAGAAAGATGCGTCCTGCTCACTTCATTCTGGCAATACTTTTGTGCTTCCCTTCCAGAAACATAACAGCATTTACTGGTTATGGAGGGAGTGGTTGTGCTGATATTTGCGCCGCCCTAACTGCTGAACCTATGCATTTGCCGAAGCGCTACGAAGATTCCTGCTGCTTTTCCACCACTTAGGGCCATTCGGTTAGGTCTTTGGCTTTTTTGCTAAGTTATCAGGAGCTGAGCGAGAAGATCGCGGTGACTGGTCAGCCTCTCTCGCCCTCCGAGTGAGCCACTTGGCTCATTCCACCCACAGTCTGTTTGGTTACTGACAACCACAGAGGTTGTTGACTTGATGGATCTTTTGCATCTGTAACCCCCCCCCCCAGGATATTTTGGATTAGTTATACGCTCAGGAATTTACCTTTTAAATGCCCACATCTACTTCATTGGCACAATTTGATCGTGTCCGGACTGACTCAGCCTATTTTTAATATGAATGAGGTTTTAACTTCCCATTGAACTTGGCATGAAACTAAACACAATTTATCAAGTGGTGAAGGCCTTTGAAGAGATGATTGTAAGAGTCAATTGGTTAAATGTTTTATTTAATCTCGGGCACCAATTACATGGTTTTTTTAAAAGGGAAACTAGCAATTAATGTTCAGTTTGATTGCTAAGATGGTGTTTTTAAGATCGAAAAGGGTATTTGTGCCTCAAAATACAGATATAAAGGTCAAACAAATGGCCCAGTAACGTTTGTTCAGTATCAGCAAATTGTGGTGCTTCAATGTATTATGCAAAGCAGTTTAATGAGATGGAAAGTGCTGCACATAGTCATTGGATGCCATAGGAGTAAGTGAATGAGGTAATTTTTCAATGAGTGTCAGCTACTGACAACAGTCTATTACATGGATGAGAATGGAGCTACTAAAATGTGAANTTTTTTTTAATGGATGCAAACACCTTTGTATTTGCATTGCCTTTTGCCGGTCGTGCAGAATTCCCATTAATTACATTGCAAGAATTGAGGGGAGAGTGGGTTTAATTATTCCTCAATGTTGAAATACAAATATGAAATGCAAATGTTACTTTTATAATAAACTTTTTTTATACATATACTTTTTGCCTACTTTTCTGTTGTGTGCGTTACGTTTGCAGGATGACAAAGTGTGTTAACTATTTCGCTGTATAAACTCATTTTAATAATGAAGTGCCTGTATTGGTTGAAAAATTTCAGGTGCCATCTTACGATAATGCATTGCATGACTACGGCTATACTAAATAATACAATAATCTTAAGTGGTGCAGTACTAATCCCTTCAAATGTATAATTGCGAGGGGAGTGCCCTAACCACTAAGCTTACCGTTTAACACAAACTCTGGCTATCAACTGTCTGCACTCAGTAATGAGGAAGTAATAAATAGGAGGAAACAAATGTGAGAAAATACAGCTTTGAAACCCATTTACAATGGAAAAAATAGTAACTTGGTTCCGTGTTAAGATAAAATTCAAAGTGTTTTAATGCAGCATTATATATAATCCTAGAAGGTGTATATAAGTGCACCACAGTATTGGGGAGGGGTAAGAACAGGCTAGATTTGTCCTGTTAGTCTGCCTCAATGGGGAACACAGTGCTATTTTATTTTGTGCTGTAAATTTACTAAGATAAAATAAGTTAGAAATCTGGTGAGAAACCTGAAACATTTATTTAAAAAATATCTGTTTCGTTCATGACAATTGCACAGTTGTAGTCTACTGCTTCTTAAAAATTCAAGTACAAATTTAGTTTTGAGGGCATTCATCTCCTCACAGAACAACCACCAGTGGTTTTATCCATACTGTTCAGTTTTGAGAGCTAACAGAAAAGGACAATAACTTCCACATTTCATTACAAGGCGCACGGCTAGCTTCGTGCTCACTATCAGAATACAACGAGCAAAAATACTTTATTGTAAAAATGAAGTCTTCATAATATTGCAGTATTTTTTACTTGCATTTGTTGTCAAGGTCTGAGCTTCAATGATTAAGTGGGAATGAAAATCAAATGAAACGTCTTACTCTCCATCTCTCTTCCCCCCACCACTCCCCTTTTTAAAAAAAAGTAAAACATGAATTTATTATTAGGGCAGTGACAAAGGCATCTAATAATATTTCTTACATTTGTTAAAGTGCCTTTCACGGTTGGGAGGATATCTCAAAGTGCTTCACAGGATATACTGTATTTTGCAACTGTTTTTTTTGCAGATTACATGCAATTTTGTAGCCAAGTTCAGAAATACTTTTTTCCCCCCACTCCCTTCTCATTGCTGCTGTCCCAACTATTTCATTTTCATTTCCCTTTAAGAGCTTTTTGGCTTCACAGCACTTTCTTAAATCTTCTTCAGGATATCATAATCCTTCGTATCTCCATCACTTATCTTAGCACTAACAAAAATCATCCTAATTTCTATAATCCTTCCTTGGGAAGTTGCACGAGCAACTTATCAAGCCTCCCTTCAAAACCGAAACCGGTTTTCCCTGGTAGCATCCTCATGAATCTACATTACTTTGTTCAATTCCACTTATAATCCTTTCTATGATTGGGTGACCTGATTAAGATCCTGTGCATCGGCACATCAAGGCCTCTGTACTCCAGGGCCAAAGGGATGTGATTTTTTTTTAATGTTTTGCTATGAACAGAAAGCTTATCAAAGCAGAAATAACATTGATGAAGTTTAACGTCTGCTTTATTTGGCCCATACCTGATGGTACTTTGCTCGCATTTCCACAGTTCTCTGCAGGTTTTGTTCTATGAAAGTTTCTCATCAGAAACTAGGTAATGGGGTAAATTTGACATCATTTCTTAAAAAGATTTCTTCCATAACGAATTTGACTGGGAGTATGTCACCCACATCACTTCAGTTCAAAGCAGCCTACTCTGAAAATAAAGTGAATTTGAACGCAACATTCCTGCGAGTTGGTATCACAGGCTTTTTAAATTAAGGAATACCACAAAACCTATCCCGATGTTGCAAAGGTCAGAAAGTTCACCTGAAAAGTTGTATTGTTCCTTTCAGATGCCGGCAATGCCTGCCATTTTACAAACTGACAATACATAGAGCCTAACAGTGCAGTTAAACAACATTGAGAAGATTGTGTGTTGTCCCAACTATTGGCTTCTGATTGAAAAAGTGCAGTGGTTAAGTCAATAACATTACAAATAATATATATGTTTTATATATATGCAAACAGAAACATTATGCACAATTTAACAATTCAAGTAGACAAATGTATTATTGTACTATATCAAGAGCTCAGCGAGCTTGTCACCTGTCTGTTTCTCCACAGTTCAGTAAAGATTAATTAATGTCTCTAACTTTAATGACAACCATTTTGTAAAGGGAAATCTTTCAGTGGATAAATATGGCAAAGGTGCACTGATTCAGTGTGCATTTCTGCAATCGAGCCCCCACAAGGGTTCTGTCTATAATTTGATTAGTTTTCAGCACAGTCGTATGGGACAAAAATACCTCTCTGTGGATCCACACGTGTCATGCTAGCTGACAGAGAATCATATAGGAGCCAAATCTATCATAGAATTCCTCCATATTGCATATTTCAATAACTTCAATGTGAGGCAAGCTGGTACCACAGGTAATAAAAGCACACCTGCCCACTCCAAAGGTCATGCGTTTGAGTTATAGGGTGGCCTGTAACTCTAGCCCCAAAGGCTCAGGATCGAACTGAAGCTTTGAGAAAATTACTCCTTCCAGAAAGCAGGTTCCTCCAATCGAATAGACATTTTTAATTTCAGCGTCGACCTCAGATCAGTAGCTTCACACTGTTATCACACGATTGTGAAGGTTACGTAGAGGAAGTGTTGCTTTGGCTCTTATTTTATTTAAAGATTTTACAACCACAGCTGTCTGATTCTCTCAGATCTCTCAATGCCCAGTGATGTTTAAGCTTGGAGAATGATTAATTAATTGTCAAAGTATTGGAAGGTACATGTCGCACAGCAGAATTGCTTTGTCAATCCTCATCTTTAGGTACGCTCAAGGCAGCAGTTTGTAAATAGTGCAACTGCTCAGATGTCCATCTGTTGCTGAGTGCTGGAAGCTTTCTTTCGCTGCAACCCAGTCGTCAAGAATGAGATTCATGTCTAACAGAGTTCCAGAGAGATACATACAGGTACCACTAGAATTTGCTATCTGCAATTTTTTTTTTTACAAAAATTGCCAATTCAGCCCGACAATTGTATAGAGTAAAAACAAGGTAAAGATTCATTCTGAACTCAATTGGACCCTGAACCATATAAAAACATAAAATGAAAGATAAGATTAATTTTAAAATTGCATTTCAATTTGTAAATTTTGATGAACCAAATCCTGTTCATATATTCTAATAAACTGTCATAATTTATCAGCCACTGTGATGGCTCATCGGATTTCCTGAGCCATTGCTGCTAAATTGTTTTCGAAAATTATTTTTCAAATTGGAATCAGTAATGATATCACTAATGCTTTGAATTTGCAATGTTTTTTCTATTCAAGGGCGATATAGCAAAAACATAACAGTGAGCAGCGACATTGTCAAAATTTGTACAACTATAATAAAACATTCAATAGACGGCTTGGATTGGAAAGCAATAGAATTTGGAGAATAGAATAAAATGCCTCCTTCAGATTTGTGTCTGGTGAAGTGCTTTGGTGCAAAGCAAGGAAGCATATATCTTCCACTCATACCATTAAAGTACAGTACTTTAAATAATGCCGGAGAGCAATTATTTACTGGATTCTTGTTAGATGTATTTTATTTACATCAACATCTATGCTTTTTAGTGCTCTCTACTAACGTAGCTTCGGCACCTTTTGGGTGAAAGGTGCTGCGAAATTCAAAGTGAGGCAGTAAATGCACCTAACATGAAAACAACCACACTCATGCTTTTAATTTTAAATTTATACAAATGATAATCCCACTCCAAGTCTTGTGCGTTACCTATTAGAAGTGGGATTATTTAAAGACACTCATAGAATCATGTGTTGCTTATTTTTAGTTCCAAAATGCAGTACCTTGAATGTATCTGTATTAAACTTAATTTGCTATAGTGAACAGTCTATAAACTCTGTGACTTTATAATATCTTGGCTAGCCTCTTCTGATTCTTAGGAATCTCTTTCCTGTACCATAATCTTAGCATCAACCGCAAATGGAATTATTTTGCACTGAGTCTGCAAATCCAGCTAATTTATATATACTACAGATAATATCAGTATGGATCCCTGAGGACCCTACTCAATATTGATTCCCATTTTAATGTAGCTTCTCCAACAAAAGGCCATCTTCCCACCAAAGCTCATTTCCTTGGTATTCACTATGTTTAACAAAGCATGGGCATTGTCTTCCTTAAAGTCCTGGGATATCTAGATGGAGTGGAAGTGGACTGAAACAAAGTGATATTTAAATAGAAAAATATATTGAACACTATGGAGGCAGAGCTACAAATTTAAATCAGTTAATTAGATTGTTCAAATGAGACAGCTCCAGCCTTGGGACGTCCTCCCGACGTGAAAGGCGCTATACAAATGTAATCTTGTTGTTATATCACAATCCTGTAATCCTTTACTTCATTGATATAACTTTCAAATTAAGAGTCAGCAAGCAACAAATTTAAAATTGGAATAACACTACTGGGGTTTTATTTTTGCTAATTATTTTTTGCTGACATCCTGTTGATAGGTTTGAAAAAAAATAGCATCCAGACAGAAGTGAGATAATTGATATAATGGGGAATAAGGAAACAATCCTCTGCTCTTATAACTGCTTTCATAACTCAACAATAAACACACAAAAAACATTTAAAACAAACTAGTAGTAAAGATGTAGTAAAACAGAATATTGTATTGGGTTATATACAATGACTATTGTTACCAAGGGTTGATTCTAAACTCACCAGTAACATGATTCGTCACAGGCTAATAGATCAGTTCACTGATAAAATATTCTTCACATTTCCCACCATGACAACCCTTTATACCAGTATCCTTTATACCACAGACAGAATTTCCTAATTAATAAATGTTATTTAAAAAAAGTCATATAAGCTGTGAGCTATACCTAAAACTGGTGGAGAACATCTCGTCTACTTCCTGAGGCAACAGTCACTTTATAGTTAATACTAAAAATATACCAAAACTGTTTGTTTTCACATCATTTATATCTGATCCTCCAAGACAAGGCTATTCTATTCCCCTCTACATAAATAAAGTTTTTTTTTAAAAAAACAACTTTGAGTGCAGTAATCAATTGGGACTAATTTAGCTGCCCATTTACTATTTAGGCATTGAATGGACCCAGAATCCCCTCCCCAAACACCATCCTTCATGGCAGAGTCGGAGATGCTGGCCATTGAACTTCTCCCAAAGTGGTATTTCTGCTAACTGGCAATAGAAGTTCAATGAGACAGCTTCTGGGATTTTTGTCATTGAGAATGCCATCAGGGGAGGTGTGCATACAACGATATGCCCTTTGAAGCCCATTCAATGTGTTAAAGAGTAAATTGTCTGCTAATTTTACCCCATTGTTAACATCATGAATAACAGATCTTTCTTAAACTTTAAAAAAGCATAAATCTTCATATCTTTGGTTACAGTAGGTGCATCTTATAACACTCCCTATATAAGAAGTGTGGTTCTATTAAACGTTCCTCAATAAACATGACTTTTGCCAGTTGACAAATAATAAAAAACCTGTATACTGTAATCCCAAGCAAATTGCAACTTTTGAATAAAAAAAGTAAAACAAAATGATTGTGAATCATTTACAATCCTAATAGTTTTGAATTACTGTAAATTATGGCTGCAATGGCACAGAAGACCCGGCGGTGGTGCTGTTACTGAGTTTACAGAACTCTCGGTCAAGTAGCACAATCTATAGCTGTTGACTGCACGCAAAACAATATTCGTAAAATGTAATAGCAATTTTTGTTCATTTTAAGTTACATTTGTATTACAATATCCACACTCATCTGTTTGCCTAGCAGTAAGTAGGAACCCGGTTGTTCGTTGATTGGCGGATCGCTTTTCCGGGGGTAATAATTTCTTCAACAGAAAAACAAATAAATTGGTCACTTCAATCCACGGCTGTTTGTGGGGACGCTGCTGTGTGCAATTGGCAGCCGCATTTCGCCCACAAAATATACAGTCAATTCACTTTACACTATATTCTGTGAAGCGCTTTGAGATGTCTCAAAAACATGATAAGGCGCTATATCAAATGCAAGGATTATTATTATAAAACGATTTACAGTATTCCAAGTCAAATATTTCTTTCCTCCCTTTTCAATCCCATGGCTGTATCAAGCCTGAATGATCATATTTCAATTAAATCTCTTGAAAGAAAATTAAAATACTTGATTATCAGCTCCAGTGAGAGGCACTTAAATATGTACATAAATATAAGATGACAAATAACTCATTATTCTATATTTTTCTTATTAATAAATTAGAGTCTTTATAAGGCATTTTCTTTAGGCATCTGATTTGTAGAATTATGCTTCACTGGGATCCAAGGGTAAATTGGAATAGAACAATTCTCATTGTAGATGCAGGCAGGAGCTGTATGTAAACAGAAATAAATTCCTGTGGAGAACAAGACAGATATTAAAATGTCAGTCTTCATGTTCACATTGATCTTTAAAAAAAGGAACAGTTAGAATTTGAGAAACTAGATTAACTAAATTAAGAAAAACTAGATTAAGGGAGATTTTAAATCATATGGTGGTTATCATATGGCTGCAAATACTTTATCAATACACAGTAAATCCTGATCTGCACACAAAGAGATTAAAAAGTATAATGTTTCAAAATATATTGAATGCTGGGTGGGTGGGGGGGGAAGAAACCAGGCAATAATTATTGCCTAAAATTCTAATATAATTACATATTCTAATGTTTTCCAAACTCCAAAATGTGATTTATAACAATATCAAAGATTGTTGATTTTACATTTGGTGCATTTCTCTTACTCACAATTGTTCTACACTTGGTGCCTTCATCTCTTTGTGTTGCTGCTTCCTGACGATTTGGGATTTTTGATGTTTAAATTCTCATAAAGACAGGCGTCTTCTTTCAACCTTCAGAACAGGAGGAAAAATAAATATGATCATTCTTATCTTTTTTCTACATATAGTTCTACCAATGGTTTTTGCCTGCATTACCATTTTATGCTGTCATCTTTGGAATCGGGAGTTTTAATTCAGCCCTGATTGTTGGTAAGTTGATAGGCTAATGTTCTGGCAATTATAAAAGTTTCAATTTAAATGAGTGCAGGTTCTCACAAATCTTTGGTATGATCTTACTCTGGCATTTGCTTTATGTTGTTAACCGGCAAAATCATTGCGTTCATTAGATGTGAGATCCACAAAAACAATTAGAACTAAATTAGCAAATTTATCCAGCAAGAACATAAAACAAAGGTTTCAGTAAGGAATATTCTTCTGACATTGTCATGAAAGCACATTGTGGACATTCTTCGCCTAAGTCAGTTGGATTTATCATTAGTCAATTGCTAATACTGCCTATTGCTTTCTTACATGTTTTAAATGGAACAATGAAAATAACTGGAAGATTAAACAGGCACTGTTATACTGTAATCCATTTTATACTTTGGGGTGAGAATTGTACATAATACTGTAAAATAGTTCATTAGAATTCAGACCGTGCCATCCAGTGGCCACAATTGGATACAATAAATATAATGCAGTCTGCACAGAGCCAGTTGGTTCAAAAAGCAGCAGTTTCCAATGGCATTCATTCACTGATAACACTTCAGAGTAGGTAATAGGGAATCCTATGGGAATTGTCAATACATCATAGCTAATTTGTAGGATTCTCTAATCTGAAGTGGTGTGGCATATTGTTTGGGGCCGGCAGGACTGCCATCATACACTGCATTTTGGTCCTGAATATCACATTAATCATGTTTTGCCCACAAAATATACAAACTATTTTCCAGTGTATTCTGTGAAGTACTTTCAAACACAAAGACACTGTATCAAAGCAAGGATTAATGTATTATTAATAATAAAATACCCATAATACTTTATAGAATTACTTACATTGAGGATGTCCGAGATGTGGCGGTGTGTGCTTTGGATTTAGACTTCTCTATAGGTAGGTAACGGATATTTGAATATTCTCTCTCAGTTTTGTTTTTCTGTAAGACCCAATTAGGTACCAATAATTAGATCCTCAAAACATGTCATTGCATAAACATTTTTAAAAATCAATGTTATCTATCAGGGATTTTCTCCTCTCTCCTTGTTCTCCTGGTATTATATACTTTTCTATGCCCATGAAGGACATGAACGACAAACACCATCCTCCAAGCTCTTTGCCAATATAAGTCTGTGACTGATTTCTATGAGGTAGAAAAGTGGGGCGGGTGAAACATGAATGATAGTGCAATCCTCCTTATTCTGAAGGGAATCAATTTAATACTTCTTCCAAAGGTTCAGCCAAGCCTGGAAGCTGGTGGCATGAACCACCGTTATTACCTTTCTCTATATCAGCTGCTTAGTGGCACAGAGATTGTTGCGTTATTTTTAAAATCAATATTTTTCTAAGAACTTCACGATTACACTTTTATGTATTGTTCTGCATTTTAAATGTGAAATAGTAAACAGTTCATCTGAATCCAGCACAAAGTATTGCATTTGATGCTTCTCACAATTGCTGCTGAATGGGTTCCATGAGGCAGAAATAAAAATTGGAGAATTTATGAAACATATTTATTCATGTATCCTAGTTAAGCTTCAAAGCACACTGGAATCAGGTTCTTGCCCAAGGGCAGGTCACGGGCATTATATAGTACTGGCGCCGAATGAGTGCAGCACAAATCAGAATGCTACAGCTGTTGACATTTCTAATTGCTAAGATCATCGCCGTTAGAAAAGTTATACTCTGAATTGCTAATAGATAATACACCAATTGCTATTTTGAGGGAAAAACAATTAAGCATTTAATGCACACTTTAAACATAAATGTAAATATAATAAATGCAAAGATTATTATAAATAAGTTTATTACAAGTGAACTTTCAGCTGATCATACTTCGAAATGTTTTGAGATGTTCTTTCAAAATATTGCAAACTTAACTTGTGTTTTTTTACTATGGCCTTTGAAAATGCATGAAGAGTCAATGGTGCATCTTTTTCCTTATGACTACAGAAAGTGACATGCATTATATATTACACACATATATATTGATATATACTAATGAAAGTTATTAAATGGAGAAAAGTGGCCTTCAAAGAAATGTGGTTTTAGAGATAATATTTGCAATACTTTAGAATAGGTACTTCTGTTCAGCTTGGTCACAACGCCAATAACTCAGAATGTTGTATTTTCAGTTATAGATTTCAGAATACACTCAAGGCTTCGAACGAATAAAACACTCACTTGTTCTTCCACTAGTCTTTTTTGAACAGTTCAATATACTGCTGTACAGCCATATATATGAACTTATACTGAGCTTCCGTTTGTACCATTCCTGACCTCTGCTTTCGAACCATTTGAATGGTTTTAGGGACGTCTATGTCACAGTCCAAACCTGTTGGGGCAAAAAAAACAAATATTCAATGATTCATTTCAATTAAAATATGCTCCAGTAGTTAAAACTGAATTTACGAGTCAAAGGGTAGGCAATCAATCGCATTAAGGTTTCTTATCTATATTTGCAACTTTATACTACACCGCTCATCAAATCGGGTTACAGGGGTAAAATTTGTTGTAAAATTTATTTAGAAAAATCTATTTGAGGAACATCATTGGGTGAGGAATGTGGCAAAGAGAAAAGTACTTGAAGAGGAGGAAGTAGGAAAAAGGCAATTCTCTTTCTCTTCTCTATATAAAACAGTGAGTATTCTTGTCTGACTCTATTCAGTCATTCTTGCCCTGTATCCCACCTCCAAAAAAGTAGAATTCACTAACACTATACATGGCAACATGGAAAAATTGTACTTTCTTACCTCAAATGTACACAGTATATATGCAAAATAAAACTGAAGTAAATTCTACTTTGAGTTTATTTTTGACCCAGTAACAAAAATCCTGAGTGGTTTAATTGTTTGTTACCTTGTCTGCTAATGTCATTGACTAGGATGTCTACAACAATTATGGTTCCTGTTCTTCCAATTCCAGCACTATAAAAGAAAAAAAATGCATTACTAGGTCTATTAATTTATAGACTGCTATACTAATATCTAAATAATAGCTAGATATTAATTGGAAATGTGATTAATAGACATTTATTTGATAAAAGAATCATGCTGACTGGTCCACCATCAACAGTACTTTGGAGTACCGCAGACCTGCTTAGTATTGGATTACCAAGACTGCCACAGAAGATGGATTTGATTCTGATCTTCCATTTTCAATGACTGTCACCTTGAAGTCAACTCAACCAGAGGAGACATCCTGACTCTCCCCAAGGAGAATAGTCACTAGTTGGTCATTAGACATCTGACAAGTGTAGAAATGAGCCCACAATCAGTGAATAGTACCAGAGATTACTCACAAGCTGCATGGTGAGTAAAGCAACCCAGCATAAAATATATTATGAGCGCACTGCCATCTGCTCACAGTCTGGACACACACATAATTATCACATCATGTATCATTTCTAGCCCCCTTATGTTTTAAAATACAACTTTCTATATACTTTACTGAATAGCGTGTTTTTACAAACCTTAAACTATAGCTATGTTGCAGCAAAAGATCTATTTCAGTCAGGGAATGTCAAACCTCAGTATGAAGAGTTTCCTGATAATATTTCACTCGTCTCTACATATTTGATATTATGAGATGTAAACAAATTTGAAATAAAGTAATCAGCTTTTAAAGCAATTAACAGAATTTTATTTCCTTACTGAGTAAGGAGTTCAGTTAAAGAACAATCATTAAAAATTTGGTTTCTCAATTTAATATTAGTAGTTAACAATTGATGATCTATAGATTAGGTGCAGTACAATTGGTAACCTATAAAACTACCAAAAATGACACTTTATCATTTACTCCTTTGTAAAAACAAATGTGAAAATAAATATCAAATTATATAACATATATCTATTCAAACCATATTTAAGGAAAATTTGATTTTTAACTCAGAATGTAGTGAGTTGGCGTATGGAAAAATGTTCCAGTTTTAAAATTATGGACTCTTCAGTTAGCCTTGAAAACTCTACTGTATGTATATTGGGAGGGTAGCATATGGTAGCTGGTGCATTGTGATCCGCATCAGATTTGTGAATCATCCAAATACCTGCAGTGCACTATAATAGGGCCTGTATCTGGAATGCTTTGTTGTGTTCGGTTTACTTGGTCCAGAAAACTCAGCACTCCTCCTGGTTCATTGGGTACCCCGTGGTCTGGCCAGCTGAGATACTGATAATGCCATATGTGCCTAGATGGTTCATTCTGTGTTTTNAAAAAAACATTAAACACCTTTCAGCACATTTTCAATGTCGTAAAATGTGACAACAGGGACTTTTGCAATTGTTAAAACATTTTTAAAAAGTAGCTTCAGAGTTTCATCAACAGAAGACCTAATCAGATCCTTTCTGTTTTAGTGCTGCCAACTGAGAGAAGCTAAAAAGAAATCAGTGCAGAAATGAAAATAATTGGTTGTTAAATACATAAATAATAAAACTTTTTTTTGTCATTAATCACATAATTAAGGATATCTGTAATTCATTCTGTACACATGGCACAATACAACTGTGGTTACACATGGTTTATATAGGTGGATAATAGCTTATGTCAATTGTCAAATTTTGATCAGATTTACAACATGGACTAACCTTTCCACTCAAGAGTACACTTACCCGATCAGTTTGTATAACCTCCAGTTCCCGTACAATGTAATCCTGTGCCCTACGTTCTTCCAAATTTCGTACTAATATTGCGCCGTAGTCTTTTGATGCTTCTTCATCTGGCCAATAGCGGAAACATTTGTTCTAGATTAAACCAAAAGCCATGTAGGAAATTACATCAGAGTATGATGAAGCAAACATCATTGTTCCTCATTACACAACTTTTCCATGATGCACAATTGTTTTATAGAAAATATAATCAGATAAGAAATAAACATCTTTAAACAGTTGTGCTAACCTCAGTATTGAAGAGTGTGAAGTTTCAGAACTTTTTCTCAGTAGAGCTCTGGATGTCTATTTTGTATTGAAGCCACACAGTTAACTTTAAAACTGATTTTTCAAGACGCCGCTTTAATAATAATAATAATTCTTGCATTTGATATAGCTTTTCACATCTTCTCAACGTCTCAAAGCACTTCACAGAATACGCTGCAAAGTGAATTGACTGTATACTTGTGGGCAAAACACGGCAGCCAACTGCGCACAGCAATGTCCCACAAACAGTAGTGGATTGAAAATGACCAATTTATTATTGTTTCGTTTTGGAGGGATTATTATTAGGCGTGTGGAGTAAGGAAACTTGCCCAAGGTTTCGTCCTGCCTGGAACTGAATCCAGGCGTCTAACTTGCAAGGCGAGTGCTCTAACCACTGAGCTGCAGGACTCCACTTTAGATATCGGAGGCATGAAATTTCTCACGGTTTAAGGTCCAAAATCATTATCTTTGCATTTGCAATTGTGAAAATTCAGTTTGAATCTGGAAGTTAGGCTTCCAAATGAAGACAGAATTCAAGAATTTTTCAAAGTTCCCGCAGCTTTCATGCACTTGTATCTGAAACAGTTATCCTAAACCTAAGATAGGAAAATTTCAGAAAATGTGCACTTATTGCAGGAAATTCTGTGCATTAGACAAATTTATAAAATGAGTAGGTTATAGAAATGCTTCTCAAATCCTCTGCAAGCAGACCTAATAATCAAACATTAGAGAGGTATTTCTTCATGTGAAATCTGTTTAGTTGATGTCACTAAATTTTTCTTGTGAATGATGGGGGTAATCAGTTCATGAAACTTGGTACAGGAGAGGAAAATGCACCAAAGAAATTTGGCATATGTACATAACAGTGGCAGTAAACAGAACGTTCATTATCAGGAGATTATTATTGCTGCCTGTCACTGGTACAATTTTGCCATCGTAGCAATTCGGTTTTCCAGAGATTTATATTAAACTTCAACAAAAGCAGTGGAACCTCAATGCACAGGTTATAATAGGCTGCACTTTATAATATGCAACATACATTAGAATACACAGCACAGAAACAGGCCATTCGGCCCAACTGGTTCTATGCCAGTGTTTATTATGCTCCACGTGAGCCTCTTCCTGCCCTTCCTCAACTAAGCCTTCAACATAGGTTTCATTATTGTAGAAGTCATATTCATACTGGTCTATAACTCTAATGATATGAAAAGCAGTGTGAGAGTGCAATTTATACATCTAATTTTACACAATTTGAAATAAACGTCATTCAAGTCAATCTCGTTTTTTAAAAAATGAGTACTGTATTAACAAACTCGTGACTGTGCCAAGTAAAATAATTTGTCCACAAAAGGATTTACTCACCCTTCCTCTTTCCACTTCTTTAGTTGTCATTACAATAACATGGGTATTTTCCTGATAAACCATTTTCCAAAAATCATTGATGGTGTTCTGGAGGCAGCCTTGGGTGGCAATATATTCTTTGCAGTCATCCCCACTTTCTCCATTCTTCAATTTAAGTGAAATTAAAGAAACCCTTTAGTTTGGCTAATGCGTTTTAAAAGCTGCATTTTAGTAATCCATGTTGGATTAACAGGCACAAAAGAATTCTCACGCAAACAGCTCATTTTGTCTTATAAAACAATACGTTTTAATTGTTTGAATTTATTTATTAGTTTCCCAGCAGAATCACTTTTATACTATGAAGTCTTTTACTCTGTACTTCATATTCCCTTTGCATAACCCTTGTTTTTTCTTGTACTCCATTCTTGTGATATGTAAATAGTCCTTTGGTTGAATGACAAGACTATCACCTCCCCTTGTAGAAAATTACAGAACTATCTTAATTGCAGAATTAAACCAGTCTGGATAAAAATATATACTTACTGTGATATAATTAGCATTGATATAATCTGAACCTAATGTTGTCTCATCAATTTCCTTCAGCGTGACTCGAGTATTGTCAACTGTAATAGAAGGCAACAATTAACATCATTAGATTAAAAGTTCTTTACTCATAGCAATGATTTTACACAAGAATCTATTTCTAAATAGCAAATAAAACATATCTGGTTTGCGGGTTACTCGATACTTAAGTTTTGGGGTTTAGTTAAAAAGTCAGGAATTTGTTAATCAGTGGTCAAATGCTGTGAACCATGAAGTCCATTTCTACAGTCCGTTTTATAACAACAACAAAATTACATTTGTAAAGCGCCTTTCACGTCGGGCAGACATCCCGTTCACACTGAGAATAGTAGGTAGGTAGGACGGCCTGAAGCACATCCAGGTTCATTTGATACAATAAATATTTCATGTTTCATTAAATTGACCTTTAACATCTCAGTCCTTATATTTGAAATGTCAGAATTATTAAAGACCACAAAAACAAAGAAACCTAGTATATTCCACAAAACAGATATACAGCATCAAATTTACAGCAGCTTGGCTCCTGTCACAGGTTTGGTGAACGTGCCCCTTTTCTCAGAGCTGGATTTGAAGTTAAGATCAAGTTAGCATACAACAACTCAGGAATAAAGCCCACTCACAAGGCAAAATATTCTTGTATCTGTTCTTGCTTTTGTTTTCTGCTCTCTGTCCCTCCTTTCTACTGTATAACAGTTTATATTCTTGTTGCTGGAGCAGCTGTTTGAAAAAAAAGTAGATGACTTTTATATGCTCCACATTAGATGCTCAAAGTAACTTCAATAATTAAATTTGATTATTTGGATTTTCCTTTTGTGAAATGAATTGATTAAAAAAACACACCACGCTAAAACTTTAGTTAGTTTTTGCTTGATTAAATGTAAATAAATTTACAACACAGCAGGTTGGTTGGACATGCATAACAAATACAACAATATTTACATATTAAATCTGGTTTACCTCAAATTCCTCCCAAAAGCCTTGCTTTGCCTTTTCGGTGTTGTCTGCTGTCTTATTTAGCTCCTTCACACGATTTTCTATGTTTGCAGCATTTATCCTTGTGGCATTAAATGGCTAGTAAACAGATTGAAAATATCTCCATTAAAATACACTTTTTCAGCTAATTCAATTAAATAATCATCAAAAATACATACAGTACAATTAAAGACAATTAAGTATCCAGTACGTGCAAAAATATTAAAATAAATTTGATGTTTTCTTTTTGTTCAGATAGTTGTATGTTTTGTGCAGTGGTTGTGCAAATATTTTTCTTTCAAGTACAGTATCTTTACAGTGTTACCTACTTGTGGTATTCGGTATTTTGATTGTGTCTGGAGAAACCCGGTACTGTGTGTACACAGTAAATAAGAATGTTCCTTTAGCATTTTGTAGGACTCATTTCTGTTAACTAAATTAAGGCGATTCAAAATAAAATAATCTTTGGTTTGATATAGCGCCTTATCTGGTCGAGATATCTCAAAGTGCTTCACTGGATAGTGGTGTGACAGTTTATTTGAAAATTAAAGAGGTTCATCAAACAAAACGTATGTTGACATTAAAGAACGGCCTGCATTGTGTAGCATAGTGTGTCAGAGACTGACTGAATGCAGGTTTAATTTCCCACACAGTATTTTAGCCTAGATTCTCCTAACTGCTGGTATCGCACTAACTAGAAATCTAATGCCACAATCTGCAAGTCAAAGGACAGTCACCTTCTCAAACATGACAATTAAGAAGGATCTCAGGATCTACCTCAACACATTCAGGTACCGGTTGATTGTTTAACTAGCATATGGTCTCAAAATTCACCACACATCCATTAAGACATAGGTGTTAATTGGCAAACGTTACTTCTATATTTGTACTACAAATAGCCTCAGTCATGTCTTCTGCATGTCCATCGTCCACAATTGGTGGCCGTGCTTTCAGCCACTGTACCCCGAATCTCTGGAACTCCTTGACTCAAACCCCCATCTTAACTCCTCTTTCCCATCTTCAAATCACACCTGAAGACTTTCCCTTCAACAGTATCTTTGGTCACCTCCCTTCTCGACTCAGTGTAACGCCACTCCAAGATGCTACCTGTGTGACGAGCACTATGTAAATGCAAGTTGTTGTTGCAGTGAAACTGTAAAATATTATACCTGTTTAAGGTGCACTACAATTCCTGAGACTTCTACCATTGGGTTTTTCTTGTAGTGCTCCACAAGGTCTGTAAGTGTGTCAAACCTCTCACCTCCACCAACATCATACTTTGCATCCTACAAAATAAAACTCTTATTACTCCTTGAAAACACCAATAGCTTCAATTGCACCACTTTTTAGTATTAATTGTTATACTTCAAAGAGATGTATCTAATGGAAAAAATGCAAATAAAATAAAAACTTTAAAACTCCTAATAGCTTCAAAACAGCTCTAAAGTTGTGTCCTCTAATCAGACCAGAAACCACAGTACTTGTTGGCAAAATCCACAGCTCCAAGTGTTGTAAAACAAAAATATTTTCATAATGTGCTGTAATCAAAAAAATGCAGCATAGTCTGGTGCGTGTTCCCGGATAATAACACAATGAGAAGATGAGGTGATGCCATGAAACATAACAGTAAACCTCAGTAGCCTTTTTCACTGTTATCAATGCCTTGGAACAGATTCTTGAGTGTAATGTTCTGTAAATGTATAGAACTCTATAGAAAACAAATTATTTCTAACTCTGGTTAAAATTGCAGAGCTTGCCATTAAGAGCACTATCTGGCAAGTGTTTTGTTACTTCTCCAGCTGGAACCACACATCCCATTAGAGCTTTGACTTCCTGGGTGAACAGGAATCGAATGGGAACAATCCCTGCTGACATGGCAGGCTTTCAGTACCTTCGAGTATTGGAGCAAATCACATGAACGGTATTTATTGTACAGCTCTCAGAGATGCTATCCTGCGTGAAGGGTGCTATGTACATGTACGTTGTTGTAACTAGTTTCTGGCGGGTGAGAATGCGAGCGGCAGAGTTCTGAATGATTTGGATTTCATGAATGGTAGTGGATGGGAGACCGGCAAAGAGGGCGTTGTAGTAGTCCAGCCGAGAGGTGACAAAGGCATGGACCAGAGTTTCAGCGGCTTTTGGGGAGAGGTATTGGCGGATATGAACAATGCAACGGAGGTGGAAAAAGGCGGTGCTGGTAAGGGACCGGATGTGGGGGAGGAGGATAATTGGGGGTCGAACCTGACGTCTAGGTTGCGTACGGGTTTCGGAGACTTTTAGGGGGAGGCGAGTGCGGTCCCACTGAGGCGGATGACGGAGGAAAGGTGGTGGAGAAGGATGGTGTGATCGACTGTATCGAACGCGACGGAGAGGTCCAGGAGGACGAGCAGGCAGAGGGAGCCCTGGTCACAGATAGAGAGGATGTCATTTGCGACTTTCACAAGCGCAGTCTCTGTACTGTGGGCGGAAACGGGACTGGAGGGGTTCGAAGAGGGAGTGGGAGGAGAGGTGTGCGCGGAGTTGGTTGGCCACAACCCGTTCTAGAGCTTTTGAGAGGAAGGGCAGGTTAGAAATAGGGCGGTAATACAAACCACTTATATTACAATCAATCACTTGCTGTATGCTGCATTTAGTAAACTAATGTGGTAAAGGAATGTGGCTGTGTTAAACAACCAGGCCAAAAGAACAAATGGGATTTTATTCTTGAAATTCTGCTAACTCTGACTGGCCAAGGTTTCATGCCCTCTCCTCCCACTCTCTCCTCCAGCTGCTCTGCGTTTCACAATAATCCCTTGACATGTTGGATGTTTGACCTCAATTATAGCGTAACATTTTCTGGATCAAAGTAAGCATGATTTTCATTTACTTACCTAAAGATCTTGTTCAGAAAATCAGTATCAAAACAAAATACACTTTTCTGACTAACTGGGGCGGGTGGGGGGAGCAAATATTCTGATCTGCCATCTCAAAACTGCCGTTGGTGGGTATTTAGGGTATCACAGAGGATTCAGTGTGTAACTAAGAATGTTGCATTACACTGAGTGGTGCCAAGAGGACTGTTTTTTCAAAAGATTTGGTCAGGGCAATCAATCTTATTAATGTTTGTTTTTACAGTCTTCAATACATGTTTTCTTTATTATATTAGCATTATTGCAAGCTTAAGATCCCACAATTTGAATTTGACACAAATAAGACTCCAGCAGAAGACAGGTAATAATTTTTAACCTGAACTAGAATAACAAAAACATACATTTGTTATTGTAGTTTTAGACATTTTCCTGCTAGCTATTTAATATTAGTCTAAAAATAGCAAATTTTAAAAACTGCAGAATATAAAGATTGATGATGCGTCTGTTTAGCCCACCTGACATCGAATCATCACATGTGTAACCTTTGCTTTTCGGTCTCCATTTTCAAACTTTTCTTCATTCGTTAACACTGACAGGACAAAATCACCTGGTTTGCTGAGACTTTCACGTACAAGGAAACTCCCAGGTTTTCCTTTATCTGTTAGGAGTTTTTCCGCATCTTTCCCTGACAGATGTCCATGATACCACCTGCAAACAATGATAATAATCTGTTGCGTAGGCTTTGTTAAGGATTGAACAGCTTGTGTAATGCATCAAGTTGGAAAAAAGGGCCCAGTTTGAGAGTGTAAGGGCACCATCCCAAGTATGCATACCCTTCAATTTAAAGCAGGCATTCAAGTCAGCTTGATGTTTCACCTTGCCTGCCTGCCATCGTCATTGCATTACACATCGTCCTTGTGTAATACGTAATGGCTAAGTGACTTGATGTGCTGCCCAAGACCCTGGTTTTAGAGCCGGCCCCTGATGAGTATAACAGCCAACCACTTCCTGTATGCTACATTCAGTTAGCTAACATAGTAAAGGAATGTGGCTGCCTGAAACAACCAGCACAAAAGAACAAATGGGACCTTATCCTTGAAATGCTCAGCTATCGGAATTTCGACCTGCTTGGGTTTAAATGCATGTGTTGAATGTTATAAAATGTTGGGTGACTGTTGGAGATGATAAATCTGTAAAACAGACTGTAAATGACACTAGAGTCTACATAGTCATAGTTCCTTTCTTTAACCTTAGATTTCCCTCATTCATTTACCATCAAACATGGTTAATCCAAACATGTGCATCCCAGAAAAATAGTTATCCTCTTTAAATATTTTTTCAATTATGATTCTTGGTATAACTTGGGTTCATCTTTGCTTCTCCTCACTTGACAAGTTACCAATGCGAGAGAGGGTGATGGTGTATAAGGATGAGGGGAAATAATGGTTAAATGTTTCCCCAAAAGGAATAACAAAGTAAAACTGAAAATAGTGAGTGAGTCATTATTGGCTGCCTAAATTCATGCTTTTATGATCAGCTAGCAATGTCAGCCTGGACTAAGGTCAGGTGCCTGCCTAATTGACAGACCAACTGCCCAAGATGGGGTAAGAAATTTACCTTTCAGATGTGGGGTCCTTGCAGTTCAGAGGATACTTTAATTCAATTTTGTCTCCATTCTTTTCTCGTAGTAAACCTTGCTGCTCTGTGTAATACTGAACTAATTCCGCCAATGTAGCAAACTTCTCTCCTCCATACAAGTCATAATAGTCGCCAGTGTTTTGGATTTTGATATGCGTCACTTCATTGATACGCCTGAGAAGTAAACAAATACATAAAATTTAAAACAATTATTTTTTGAAAGCTTTTTTTCATTTCTATTGTTCAGTTTTGTAAATGCAAAAGCCTTGAAGCAAAAGAAAATGAAAAAGTTACCTAGAGACCAAAAATGAGTGAGAAAAAGAAAACCGGAGTAAGGGAGAAATAAAGTTAGTGAGAGATAGACAGAGAGAGAAGTGCACATTGTGGCACTGTATCAGTAGAATTCCTGATGGAACCTATTTTTTATTAGCACCTTAAACCAATTTACATTTTGCATGATGTCCAATTAACTGAACTATTTACGTATCTATAATTTTCTTATCTCAATTGGTGCAGATAATTGGCTCTACAGTAACTGTGGGAACTGGGCTGAAACACTTTACTGTAACAACCCAGACATTCATCATATCACATAATATTATAATTTCAACCTTTTTATTACAGCTGATGAGCATGAATTCCAAGTCACGTATATTAATGTAGTATATAAAAGGATATTAAAAGCAATTTATTTTTTGAAAATGGTGTAGTGGGACCAAGAATAGATTAAATAACTTGTGATCCATCACGCATGTGTTATTTTACTTGTTAATCTTTTTGTATCCAACAACTCGCCCCCACATATCCTCTTTGTGTCTGCCATTCTGAGCCTCAGTTTCCTTCACAACATTTTTTGTTTACTGACACAAATGCATCTCAAGGCCACATTAACCTTTGGGTATAGTACATGTTAGCCAAAATATAACTAACATACATTTCTTCAATTGCTCCAGCCTCCCGCACACATTTGTACAAAAATCCAATACAAATCAAATCTAAAAGAAAAAATCTGATACAGTACAACAACTTGCATTTATATATTGCGCGTCATGCGGGGTAGAGTCCCAGAGGGCTTGTACCCATATCTTAATACCAAGGATCTATAAACAGGACAGCGCTGACTGGAAACTTGGATACTGAGTCATCCATTTCACTTAAAATACAATATGGAAATTAAACATACTCTGATGCATCACAACCCATATTATTCATCATTTTCTGCTCTTTAAACACAAACCCGTTACCTTTGCTTGAAAACCTATTTCCTTCAGTTGAGGACAAAGGGGATTAGTCTCACAATCTTTAGCAGAAAAATTAGGGGAGAGATTAAGAGGTTTTTTTCACTCAGAGGAAGAGAATGTTAGGATTTGGAGTTCATTACCACAAGTGGCTCTTGCTTGTGAAAGCAAATGAGAAAGCTCGAGGCACGATCCTCATTAAGAGCACTATATCAATACAAGTTGTTGTTGGAAGCCTCCACAAAGCTACAGTATGCCAAAATGGATGCAAAGTGCTTCAGCCTTTGCTGAAGATCTGTTTTTTGTTCAGCTGGATGTCTTACACATGCCGAAATCATCACCATGCTTAAGAGTATCTAAAACAAATTACAGTCCGAGCCAGTTATAACATGACAGTCCATAAAATGAGATCCTGTATTATACTGGGACATGTTATAGTGTGGCCAACAGTTAGCTCTTCCAAGGTTATCAGGTCATCGCTGATGTCAGTGAGCTATGCTGTACATGCGTGTCATGTGCAGAAAGCTTGCCAGACAGCAGTGACTGCTCTTGCAATCATGTTCAGTGGTGACTGGAGACACGATCGACATTGTGAGGGCCTCTGTGCCTACACGTAATGTGCAGGAAGTGTCCTACCGTACACTGCGGGTCCACAGTATTCACACGTTATATCCCAAATCTCGGTATAAAGGAATCACAACGTAGAAGTTTACAGACTTGATAGGCTCCAGGTGCAATCTCATGTATCCGTGCAGCAAGGCCTAAAAACAAGTGGCAACTAAGTGTGAATCGAAGATGGAAGCTCACAAGATTTTCAGCCAAATTTGGCTGCTAGTATTATTAACAAGTTATAAATTATGGGGTCTTTCAAAACAAATTGTAATGACCTACTTAGTTAAGGAATGGAATAGGTTAGGAATACCAGACTTTCAACTGCACACTTAGTACTATTAACATGGTAGAGATTCTGTAAATGCAAACCCCTCAACTATCCAGATTCCGTTACTCATATTAGGAAGGTTTGAAATATAAAGCGCAAATAATGACCTATTGTGGGGCATCCCCAAACAAACGATATTCAGGTTAAGATGGCTATTTAGTTTGCATTTCATTTTCATATTATGATGAGTAATATTATGTAGTGCTCATCGTTTACTGATATAACATTTCTGAGGGAAGGTAAAACGTTCATAGCATTTCTGAAAACTGTTAATTTACATAAAGTAAGTCCACAGTTGCTGCTAAGAATTAAGAAGGCACAAATATAAGGAACTGTAGTTGAAGCAACCTTCAATTCCTTTACAATTAAATCATATGGATGTTGAAGAGGAGGAATATTAAAGGTTTCTGGACAATGATCAAGATCAAATAGATGAAGCGATTAAAAGATTAGACGAGGAGACTTCATGTGGAGAAAAATACCAGTGCAGAGTTGATGGACTAGCTTGTTTTTGTACTGTGACATTTCATGATTCTATGAAACGATAACCACTACCAGTTGAAAGATAGCCGGCAGTAGCTGTGACAAGAAAACTATTTTTTACATTTTTTGGTTAGCTAGATGTCTGACTGACACATGACAAATCCAACACTGTGCTTAAGAGCATCCAGACCAACAACAAGTACCTAATTACATTTATGTAGCGCTTTTCACGTTGGAAGGACGTCCCAAGGAGCTGGGACCAGAATATGTATGCCACCTACACACGAGGTGGACTCAATTCCGGCTATCACCTTGGAGTCAGTTCAGCTTCTCCTCACTCCCCCCCCTCCCCACTCCACCCCCACCAAAAACACACACAATATTTACTATAGTTACAGTAGTTACAATATTTACTAATACTCATACCAACCCTAGTTTTCAGTGAATGCAGTCGAGAGATAACAATGGAAAGAGTGCCTGCTGATAACAAAAAGTGCAACCTAGTGTCTTCTAAACATAAAATTAAATTTACCTCAAGGGCATCAAATCAATAGTGACTGTATGACTCTGGGATACTTGTAAAGACTTCATAATATTAAGATCGATATTTAGCCACAGTGGCCCTCAGCTACAGTCGATGAAATGTGATTTGCTTTTAAAATTGTGTTTATCATAAGCTCATTTCCGCCACCCACACAGTGGAATTGAGTTGCGTGAGTTACTAGCAACAAAATTACAGTTATAATCCTGTTCATTTCCTTCTTCAATGGCAAATAATGAAAACAATGAAAAATAATCATTTGGGGAAAAACTAAATACAAAATCATGGGACAATAGGAAGGGTTCATTTCCACAATTCTCCAAATGGGACTTTTCCAGTATATTTAATTCAACATCTCCATGACAAAGTAGAAGAACAGGACATGTTCATATTTGGTGCAGGATAACTTCCACATGCTCCCTTGTGTTTTTATCAATAGAATAGCACAATCATTTCATTTTATAGATAATTTATAAAAAAACTTTTAAAAAATCCATGATGTATTTAAGCAAAAAGTGAAACCGGATGCAATGTAAAGTGTTTCTGCACTACGTGATGTTTCCATAACCTTGAGTGGATTATACAATAATTTATTATACATGTTCCCAAACCCAAGATTTTCCCCTCAGTCCCAAAGTACTTAGTGTTTTAAGGCAACAGTGTAACACAGGAACTATCTGATACCTAAATTAAAATATGGCCACATTATCAAATGTTTTAAACAGGTTATTTTCAGCACCACCCAATATGCGATTGTAAGCATGTCAGCAATCTTCTGATGAACCACAGATCATTCAGATAAAGGTGTGTTATTGGGGGAAGGGGTGATTCCTTTTTAATACATTAAAAAAACATTCAATTCAATGACACTAAATATGGCAACGTTTTTACATTATTTGTGCAAGTAATAATTGTAAATGTGCATTCAAATTTTGCCGATTATCTACGTTTAGCCATAAGACACCCATGTGTTTTGGACAAAACAGCTGCATAAAATGCAATCCCTGCATTTATAGAGAATTAAACCTTGGCCCATATCAAGACAGTGTTCATTTACTGGTTGTGATGAAAAGTGCAAAATTCAGCGTCATTACAATATAATTTATAATAAAATTTACATTTATATAACTCCTTTCACATTGGGTGGATATCTCAAAGTGCGTATGTGTCATACTTATCAATGGAGTTAATTAACACTTGGTCACACATTCTACTACTGGCGATGTCTCAAATAATTATTGTCTGTAGGTGAACTGTACCCCTCCCACAAATTTGTGAGAACAGATACTCAAAGCCACTCTACTGAACCAAGTGCCGTGAGTCTCTGGATTTTAGTGCTGCTTTGCAGAATACTGGTTTGCCAGGAAAGGTGGTAGAGGGTCAGGACACTAGAAGCATTTCAAAAACAACTTGATGCAGTGATGGGGGAATAGTAGGGTGGGCGTTCTGAAAAGATGAAATCGGATGGGCTGAAGGGCCTTCTTCATCCAGACCAATCTTGTGAACTTGTGTTTGATATATAATACATTATTTTCTCTGCACACCACAATCTTCCCACCAAGATCAAATGTAATTCAGCAATTATAAAGCCAAGAGTGCATTAATATTTACTTTAATGTATACTATATCAAATGTAGATTTTTTATTTTACTTTATCATATGTAAGGAATATTATACTAATTACAATATTCAAATACAACCCAAATGATCTGCTTTCAGTATTCAGTTTCCCATTGGTATGTGCTCAAAGTTACTATAAAATGGCATCAATTTATTATTATTACCATCATCAATTTGGCATTCTCACTTATATCCCATTACAGAATATCCATCATAAAAGTGATGTAAAGCATCCATGACATTTTCCGAATAATCATTGGATTGTACTAAATGGGAATATCTCAGTGCAAAGCAGCAAAAAAAGGATTTGTTTGCTGAACTGTTAGTGGATTCAACATCTTGCTTAAAGAATGCACCATCAAGAGAAATCCGTGAAACTGAGAAGAAAGTTTCAATGAAAAATTGTGATGGTTGAGTTGAAGCATAATATTTTCGAGAGATTTATCAAAGAGCTAAAATAATGTTACATTGAGCAGATTTTGGATAGTTACTAGCTACAATCTTTGTTGTACCATAATAGGGGAATTTGTTTCAGCTGCAAGTGAATACAAAAGTCATCTGTGAACCAAAGGAAATGTTTTATTGTACCCAGCGCCTTGGGACGTCCTCCCGATGTGAAAGGCGCTCTATAAATGGAATCTTGTTGTTGTTGTTGTAAATTTATAATTTGTAGCACTTTAGTCACTGAGAGCTAAAAACTATTCCCTTATTGATAGAGTAAAGCAACATTCAATTGTAATACAGTATGTGGGAATTAATACCTATAAGCATATCAGATTCAGTATTCAAAATAACATTTTAATTCCATTTCATGTACCAAAACATAAAAGATTTTTTATTGTGCATCATTCTGATTGTAGTACAAACAAAAATGTGAGATACTGAGAAGATTACACTCACATAAGATTGCATGGCAAAATCTTATTGAGCATTCAGTCCTAAACTATGAAACAAGACCTGGTATATGTGTGAGCTATCAACCGGTCTAGCAAGTCACAATATTACTAGCTAGCAAGGATCACAAAGACATTTATTTCCAACCCAGAAATTATACCCTCCTGCTGCCTTTCCCTTCTTTACAAGAATTTTGACATGGGCTTTCTTCATCTAAACCTCTCCCATGGTCTTGTGACATCAAAATTTAGAGGAACTGAGAAGGTCAATTTGTAAGGTTGTTAAAATAAAATCATAGAATCATAGAATGTTACGGCACAGAAGGAGGCCATTCGGCCCATCAAGTCTGTGCCGGCTCTTTGATGGAGCAACTGACTTTTATTAACCCCACTCACCAGCTTTCTCCCCATAACCCTGCAAACCCGTCTTCTCCAGATACCTATCCAGTTCTCTCTTAAAAATAAACTGTAATTTTGTTTTACTTACGTTACAAAAATATAGGAATCTCAGTGCCACCAAATACTGTGGTTATTTCTGTTACTTTTTTAAGCCTTTCCAGTCCAGCAATATGACTGTTGCCAATTTAATAAGGCATAGCATGGCATCAAATAGCTCGGTCCCTTTTGGACACTTACTTAAGTGACACAGGCAAAACCAAACTGAACCCAGAAGTGGATTTCTTTAACAAAGAAAAAAATAAATAATTCATTCAGTAAACGTACAACATATCGTTCCAAAGAAAAGTTGATTTCCCCTAAAGTGGTTTAAACATTTCCATTTGCTTTATGCGTGCAGATAAAGAAGCGCACGTAGAGCAAATGGAAATTTCTTAACTAAATTAGGGGAGCTCAATTTATTTTGGGAACTATAGAATGCTGTTTGGCACATGGACATCTCGTGGACATTGTACGGGTGACTGAAAGAGGAGGCAGGAGCCTCCTAGGAAAACCCTAGCTGTTGCTTTGAAATCTGTGTGAAACAGTGGGAAATAAAGAAAAAGCAGACTTTTTATGTGATATGGTCAGGACTTCTGTTTTTCAAGGTTTTCAAAAAAAATCATATTTCAGTGTTTATTTTTGACATTTTTTGAATTCTGCAAATCAGGGGGTTTCGGGGTGGGGGTTTCACTTGGCACCTTCACGATGCACCTTCCTCTTCACGTTTGTTGAGAGGAGGGAGGCACTGCACTTGCATGAAAGTTACACATGTGTAAGAGTGCCTCTCTCCCCTCCATGTGCCCAGGTGCATCTGGGTTTCATTTTTTTTGCACCTGCACACACGGAGGGGAGAGAGGCACTCTAACACATGTGTAACGTATGTACATCAGGACAGTTAACAATTAATGGGGTTTTGCAGTGTTTATTGATCCTTTAAAAAAACTACTTTCATTTGTCAAATTGCAAGTTAGGCTTTTCAAATCTCACAGATATTAATTAGCAAATCACATTGACTTTAAACTTTTCCACCCCACAAATTATTCCACAATAAATCAATAGTAACTGACAAAGTGTATTTATTGTAACTTTACTCACACATGTCATTGGTGATACTTAATACACCACTTATTGGAATTTTCATCCCTGTGTTTCATGTGCTTGACTCAGAAGACACAATAATTAGGTCAAGAATGATAAGCTATAGGTATGATGCACAGGTAGTGTGAAACTACAATATTAGAGTATTAAACTCTCACCTCTAGGAAGATTGAATCTGAATCCTAGTTTACATTAGCACTTCTACCCAGAATTTTTCTACCACGTGAGAGCTGTCAGTCCTGGTCAGATCATAGAGGGTAGGGAATAAGATCAGTTTACCGTATTGAACCACTTTGTTTTATTTACCCATTTTAGTCTGCTGGTGCTTTACATAAAAAAACGTTTCTATACAGTGTTCTATCAAAACTGATTGGAATTACTGAACTAAAGAGGGGAATTAACCTAATTTACAGTAAAAAGGAACAATGGTTTATTTTAGAAAAGAAAGAGGAAATGAAAGATGCTAGTGCAAAGTAAAATGTTGGGTAGATACTCCCATTTGTCCACAATGAATTGAAAAAGAACACAATGAGGTAAGATTTACAGCATTCCTTAAATGAGCACCCCCAAGCACTTTGTTCAATTCTCAAACTGATCTACCACCATCTTGGATTTGGAGTCTGGGGCAACAGACTGAATGAAGCCTTTTGTCTTTTGGTGCCCTTGAATAATCAAGATTGTTTTAATACTTATTACCAACCCTTGTGGAAGAAAAATCAAATGTTTTCCAGGAAAGGAAAAGTGTGAAGTTTCCTGTAATCTGTAAGTTTGAAATAGAAGATCGATTGTTTGTCCACGGTGAGCAACAAGCCGACTGAAAGTGGAATCAACATGGCTGTAATGCAACGAAGTGCAACAAAATCTATAAAAAGCGGCAATTCTAGCAGGAATGAGCTACAAATACAACAGCTCACAGACTTCAAAGCTGGCTGGATTCATAACTTTCTTTTATTGGCCGTCATTGAACTTCCTTTAAAAATGTGACTATAAAAGGTCGATCTCAGATTGCAGTCTTTCAATGCCATTTCACAGAATAATGACTTAATTAAATTGTAAAGCAGCAAGGGAAATTCAAAACACATTTTAACACCTACCTTGATTAAAGAATGGAACATGTTAGGTACACTAAAGTTTGATGAAATGTCATTAAAACTATGATTTATAAAAAGATATGGTAATAAATTTGTCAAATAAAACTACAATTATTTAAGCCAAGTTCAAGGGCAATTATGCACATGAGACACTTCCATGGCAAAAATTGTTATGGTTAACATCCCCGAAACCATAAACCACATCATCCAACTGAATTCCGAATGGGCACAAATCTGTATAATACACTACTAACTTTACCGTACAGCAATCTGCTTGTTTGAATATGCTGCTATGACATTTCAACATTGGCTTTCAAAAAAAGTAATCAGCTTTTCTAAGAATTATCTGCTGCTTGCAATTCTGTATCAAGTACCTAAGTATCACGTGCCTCTAGGAATATAACCTGTCCCAATTCTACCATAATCTACCTCTAGCATAATGATATAAAATGAATTTTAATTCATGAATTTTTACCAGACTCAGAAGAATAACCCTATATTTGTTTCAACTGGATTTTCTATCTATTGCATTCAAATTTCAACAAAGTTCAATATTATTTCTTCTCTGAATTTTCGTGATAATTTTATGTCTCAGGAATATAATTAAATCCAAATGCAAGAATTATTAATTATTTGCAGTTAATGTTTTTAATAAATTAATGGTTTGCACTAAACACTACATTCCAGAATGAATTTTAAAACTGGTTTCTGGAATGCGAGTATGCTTGACTTGGGGATACATAGGCCGAAAACATCTCATCTTTTTAGGGTTTGAAATTGGTGCTGTAATCGCAAATCGATATGTACAAGCCCAAGGTGTGATATTCTACTATGTGATTACTTCTTTCTTCCAGGTTCAAAGTTATTATACATTTCCAGTAGAAGCAATGGAAAAGCAATTTCAGAACATGCATTTCAACAATCACAACAAGGAGGAAAAGGTGGTTCCTTTCTCCATAGATGCTGCCTGACTTGCTGAGTATTTTAGGTTTTCTTTTCAAAAAAGGAGGAATAAGTGACAGACGACGGATAGGATAGAAGTCCAGGAAGGAGCTTTTGGGGAAAGCTTCCAAATTAAGATTGCATTAAAGAATTTTCCACAATTCTTCCCAATTTTAAATTTTAAGGCAAAATAAGTTTGCATCTCTCAAATTGTGAGTCAACTTCTCGACCTCTTAATTTACTAGTCTACCATTCAAATATTCTTTACAAATCTTACCTTCTTTATCTACATTCCATTTTCTTACCTGACTGATAAAGTGAAGTCCCCAGGATTACTTTTACTAGGTCGAGCTAGGAAACTCCCATGAACCCCTCTGGTCAATAACAGCTGCTCCGCTTCAATCCCAGTGATATTGGGGTGGAACCACCTACATAACAGAAATATAAGAATATTTGTATAAAACAATTAAATAATAAATAAATAAAATCCATTTAATATATACCCCAAAACTGAGCATTGTAAATGTTTGGAAGTGACATCTTCTCAGATCTGGGTTCAATTTAACATTTAAGAATGACTTTCTATCACATAGTTATTTTATGGAATAAGCCTTCATTTATAGTTGCACAACATCCACCAAGGATATAACATTACACAAAAAACAACTAACATGTGGGTTAAGGACATCCAAGAATAATATCATTAATGTTGCTAATATACTGACTTGTTTCAATTTGTGGCAGGTACACATATCCTGCCTTAAGATTCATTCATATGGAAATGAAGAGCACATTGGTAATATCTTACCAGACAGAAACAAAATTCTTTCATTTGTCGAGATAATAATCCATGAAAACAAAACTTTGTAAAGTCACCAGAATTGGCATATTGTTTCATACGTATATGTAATATCCATTCCTGATCATTATTCTGGAAACAGTCTTACATTCGGGTTGTGGCTGATGGGATTGTATTTTAGTAGACAATCACAAGACGTAAAGTGAGATGAACACAATGTCAGAAGTATGGTGAAATAAACGTGACAACCGAGACGAGCAAAGTGTGATTAGCAGCATCACAAATTGGGATGACTGCTTTACATGTTGGTTTTAGAATAATTTGTAGGCACTCAATTCAGAATTATTGCAAAGTAAACTCTACTTAAAGAATACTATGAGACGAAAATAGGATTTGCGTAACTGTGCTTGGTGGAAACTTTATGTTGGGATGTCATAAAATTGGCAGAAGGTGTATTAAAAGCAGCACAATGCATTATTGGTCTGTGGAAACCACATTTTGGTCGGAGGTTAATAAGGAGGCTTCCACAAATCAATTTCAGAACAAATTTCTAAATCAATTAATGCATATCATTCCCAAATTTCAAATTGACAATTGTTATTTTGTTATGCACAGCATAAACATTTCTATACAACACTAACAGCAGCCACACTTTTCAGAAGGTAGAATGTTCTGTGACACAGCTTTCTTCGCCATTTCTGAGAAAAACCTCTCCAATATGAAATTGTGCTAATTCTGTGAGTCTTAAAAATTGGGCACTCTCAGCAAATATGTCTGTTGTTGGTTGAAAAAATTTCCAGGACTTGATTGAGAGATTCACAAGATAAGTAAAGCTCAATATTTAACTTGTAAAACACACCGCATTTTTTCACGTTAGATACGAACTGACGTTTGAGATCAACGATCACATCTTTATATACTTGCTCTGACAGCCCTTTGTGGCTAGCCATATTTTCCATTCAAAACCCGCCCAATGTTCCATTCACAAGTAACAACATTCAAACATGGTTAACGAACAGCCACCACTATTACCAAAAGAATTCTCACAGTTCTGCCATTAAATTCAGGGACTTGGAATTGCAACACAATAGCATAGCACGACATTAATACACGCGAGAAAAAAGGAACAAACTTTCTGCTTTCTTCAGTTTTATGTATCCTTTTTTTTTATTTGCACCTAATTGTCGACCGTATGCATTAAAATACATTGCTAGGAAGCGACCAGATCTATATTTACCAGAAAGTCTGTACTATTATTATACTGACTACCAAAACCACACGAGCACTTGATAAAATATTTATGTGGAGTCCTGTAGTATATTGGTTAGAGTACTTGCCTCGCTGGCGAGAGAACACGCGTTTGATTCCCGGGCAGGGCAAAACCTTAGTCAATTTTCCACACACCTCTATTTACTTAGCAGTAATAATAATAATCCTTCCATTTGATATAGCACCTTATCAGGCTTTGAGATGTCTCAAAGCGCTTCACGTAATATACTGTAAAGTGAATTGACTATTTTCTGGGCAAAACATGGCAACCAATTGCTATCTGGGTACACTGTATACAGCACAAAAATCTTCAATATACCTAAAGTACACACTAATTACAAGAAAATATTTTATTATAATCAATCTCAAGCAGAAAGTTAAGATGAAAACAGTAGAAATAAAGATTGAAAAAGAAACAGAACGCTCAAGGTCAACACAAGTAGCTGAGCAATTTGCACTAAGAGAACGTGAAAAATAAAACCACTTTGTAGAATACATCTGGATAAAAAAAAACTTCAGTTTTGATTTTTCAGAAATGTTGTCAAATTTGAAAGCCTTTCTCATTATGAGTTTGCAAAAATACCTAGGTTCTTTAAGCCCGTCCTAGATAGTAAGTCATGTTACAAAGTAAAACAATCTTTACAACAGATAAAATTAGGATCTTTTATTCCAGTGGTATATTCAGAAAACTGTATATAATAATCCTTGCACTTGACATAGTGCCTTATCAAGTCATCAAGCTATCTCAGAGCACGCACAGGATATAGTGTAAAGTGGTGTGATTGTATGTATTTTGTGGGTGAACACCACAAAATAGAATCCAATTTGCGAACTCCAATGTCCCACAAACAGCCATTCAATGAATGACCAATTTTATTTGGGGGATTGTTGGGCAGAATACCGGGATAAACTCCCTTCTCTTTTTGAATAGGACCGTGGGATCTTTAACAACCACCTGGACAAGCAGGGGTGGCCATGGATTAACATCTCATCCGAATACAATATTCTTCAGGCAAATATGCAGGCACCTAATAAACACTGAAATTTGGTAGTTTGGTCACTTACCTGATAAATATTTCAAGCAAGATGCTTTGAGGATAATAATGAAAAACTCTGCACTTTAACAAACACATTTTATAAACTTCATCATAGAATGATTAGTCTATAAACCATGTTCCTTGGAAACATACAAAAATGTTACCAGTAGCTAATGGTATTATTCTAAATATCGTTTCTGATGCTTTCTGGTAAAGAAGCAATAAAGAGCATGTTTAAATTCTGAATTCTTAAATTCTAGAGTACTAATGTGAGAAGTTATTGTAAAACTATTGGTACCATCTGCTCCAGTAAAAGAGGGTTCAAGCACATTTCCCTGAAGAGATTCTAAAATTGATAAAATGTATTGCTGCCATCCAGGAAAATCTGGTATTGATTACTTATCTGACTTTTGTAAAATGTGATCCATAAAATTAGAGTTACAGATACACAGTTACTACACTTGAAGTGCTTTGCAACATTTAGATGTTATGGGCCCTATATCAAACGCAAAGATTATCATTACATTGCTAAATTAATTAAGTTCAAATCCCCCAAATCATGCTCAAGCTGTACAATGCTCTTGTCAGACTACACATGTCCAGGAACATAAGAATCCACCTAGACCCTTAGCAGTAGAGAAGATTGCAACAAGGCTGATGCACAATATCAGATAGATGAGCTACACCTCTTCACCCTTGAAAATTTTCCAGAAGTTAATTGAGAGATTCACAAGATAAGTAAAACTCAATATTTAATTTGTCCCTAAAGGGACCTTCTAGATGTATTTACGATAATACAATGTGTAATCTTGACTCAGTTCCATCCTTGCCCCTGGTCGGAAGGTGATGTGTTCAAGCCTCGTGTCACAACTTTTTCTAAAGGATAGAGGGATTAAGGGATACGGGCATAGGGCGGGTAAATTGAATTAGGTTAGAAGATCAGCCATGATCTTATTAAATGGCGGGGCAGGCTCGAGGGGCCGAATGGCCTACTCCTGCGTCTTATGGTAACTTAAGCTAATAGTCTGCCAGTGTAGTGCCAGTAGAGTACTGTAATGTTGGAGATACAGTACTTTCTATCAGATGAAATGTTAGACATGTTGAGCTCTGCCTGCTGAGATGGACTTTAATAATCCCAAACAGTTATCAAAAAGAGAAATAATTTTCTCAGTTTCCTGGCCAACAGCCTTCAGATAACTTAATTTTCCGCTTGATGGTTGTTTGTAGATCATCCTAACGCAAATAGCTGCTTGTGTTTGCTGTCAATAAACAATCAACAGTAATTACTGTGAAATACTTCGAGATATTTTGATGAGTTCTTCTATTAGTAGAATGTATGATTTGACTAAAAATATGTATGAATAAATAATCTTAGAGGAACTGAAACTGAACTCTATTTAAAAAACCATGGGGATTTTTCTGTGAAATTAATCCGTGTTAAGGGTATCAACCTGGCTGACTGAGTTGGTGGTGCTCTTGCCTCTGAGTCAGAAGGTTATTGGTTCAAGCCCTACCTTAGGAGTTTGAGCTCAAAGGTTAGGCTGACATTCCAATGCTGGTCAGTGCTGAAGTGGTAGCCAGTGCTATCCTGTCAGCCTGTTCAGAAGGATCTGATCCCGTGGCACTATTTGAAATGAAAAGGGCAAAAGGGTGTTCTGGCTCACAGTTCTCCAGATAAAATTGGTCAATAACTTCATGGATGTTTGTGGACATTCTTATATGTTTGCCTACACAGTGTTGTTTGACTTCACAAAAATCTTTAAAACATTTCCATGACATAATAATAATCCTTGATTTGATATAGCGCTTTTCATGTCTTCTAGATGTCTCAAAGCGCTTCACAGAATATGCTGTAAAGTGAATTGACTGTATATTTGTGGGTGAAACACGGCAGCCAATTGCGCAAAGCAGTGTCCCACAAACGGTCATGGATTGAAAATTATCAATTTATTATTGTTTTTGTTTTTTGGAGGGATTATTATTAGGCGTGTGGAGTAATGTTGGAGATGAATTAAAACAAAAGAACTACTCAGAAGTAAAAGGATGTTTTTAATACAGATTGTTTGGATAAAGCACTAAATCAAATGCAACGCTTGTTATTTAAATCACTATTTAATGACTTGGAAAAGTAAAATAATAGAACAGTAGAAATAGTGCCACGGGATCACAATCTGTTTTGCCCAGCAAACCTGTAGTTTTCTTTGCAGAACAGAAAACAAACCAGGCAAGTTTTTTCTCTCTATAGATGTTGATCTGACCTTCAGACCTATTTCCTTTTTGTTCCCTCTTTTGGGCTCTCCAGACAAACTATTATTGAAGTCTG